GTGCATCAATATTTTATTCAAACATTGAAAAAAAAAACAAAATTAAAAAGATCAACTTTCTGGATTTGAACCCGTATATTAAGGCATGCAATCTACAAACGCTAACTACTGCGCCACAAGTGAGTTGGAATACCATACGAGCAAACACCAATTTAAAATTCATTAAGGTGTTGTGTTTAGTATTCAAGTCCGTCAGCTGGCACTGGAAACTCCAACAGTAAGCGGGACAACAGCTCACTTCAATATATCTCATATGGCGTGCGGTTTGTGCTGAGGCTCTCACGCAGAAGGACTGGGTTTAATTCTTGAAACAGGTCTAATACTAATAATGCTGCTAAATCAATACACGTTCATAGATGGCTTAAGAAATAACTTTCAGACATACCTGACTTTAGAATTGACTTTCATAAAAGTGCGAACTACAGGGCTGGTAGTGCTGATGCGATAAAATAGTAGTGACTTTAGTGACTAAAATTACGGAAATAGTGACTTGTAAATACTAAACAAGAAACCATTTATATGGTAACTTAGAAATTCAAATGCGGTTTAATGTTGAAAGAATTTTTTTATGCCATGGAACCTAAAATCAAATCTCATAAATTCCTCTAATTTAATCGAATCGCACAACGGAATCTCCTGTGAAGAGCATTTGAAGTGATTTGTATAATTTACTTTTGTTTACGTTATACATGATGGCTAGCAAATAGTAATTCCCAATGATTCTGCGTTTGAAATCTTTAAAATTTTGATATATCTAGATAGATAACTTTGATAATTTGCTAAGAACTTTTCACAGAATTTCTTCAGAATGATCTCCAGAACTTAGAATAATTCCCCTTCTCTTAAACTTTAAGGCAAGTAAGCTTTTACTAAAATAATATTGCATTCTTGGAAATCTTAGCAACAATCAACAAAATTATTGGAAATAGATTATTTTCGTAGTTGGAAATGATTAACATCAAATATCTGGATTAAAGTGGACATTTTATACGATAGATGAGGAGATGAAAGTAAAGAGCGATCATATATCAGTAGATAGTTTCTTTATAGTGTGAAATTTGTATATAGAAAGTAGAAAGCGAACAAAGACAATTTCGAGGAAGGTACTAATCGGGTAGAGCATCTCCTTTACCAAGCTCATCCGTTAATGAGGGATGGTGAGGGGTGTTTCCCCTGCCACTGGCAAGAGGGATGATCGCCGATTTGCTCATATACCTCCGATGTGCGGAAACAGTTCTGTCGATTGTTTCACACTCAAGTCTCATCTGACGTAAACAACTACCTGATTCGTACCTTCCTCAAAGTTGTCCTTGCTCGCTTTCTACTCTCTATTTACAATTTTCACACTGCAGTACTATAACGGAAATATCAACTCTATAATTTAATCTCCTCATCTATCGTATAAAATCTCCACTTTAAGCATCTTAAGCATGAAGTAATAACACATGATTAGTTGAAGAAGATTATTTTAGTTTTTTTATTGATTTTTCTTGGAACTTCCTGAAGGCTCCTTCCATAAATCCATTTTAAATTTATTAGAATTCTTTTTGCAATTAACCTCAGAAATATCAAAAATTTCTGCTTAGAATAATCTTGGACTTCTCCCCTGCATTCAATTGGAAATTCAATCCGTATAAACCACTTCATTCGAGCAGATCAAATGACGTTTACTACCACTCAAACTTTGAAATGAAACATTATTTTGAGATTTTTTCTTCTAGAACCTCGAAAAAAATAGCCAACATTTGTGCGTTTCACAAAAAAATAGAAATTAGTTGGTCCAGTTTTGTGAAATCGCTGGTAGAAAGTCACACCAAAACTGCTTGACAAAGTGGTCAATTGTCCTTAGAATTCTCAAAACAAAAATCCATCACAGAATAACTTTGAAACTCTTCTCAGAATTCCTTTGAGATTGAACCCTCAAAATTCGATACTATTGGAATTCTTCTCGGGATTTATTTCAAACTCTTTAAAACTCTCTAGGAAGTATCGTCAGAAATCACCCTTTTAGAACTATCCGCAGAGACCATCTTTTGAAGTTCACGGGATTTTCATGGAATTTTCATCAGAGCTCCCTTAAGCAAAATTTCTACTAACTAACTTGAAACTAATTTTGAATTCTTATTAGCATTGGACCTAGAATCCTCATCCAATTGTCATAGAATTCTTCTCAGAACTCTCGTTAAAATGCACTCTCAATTATATTGGAATTATTTCCAAAATTGTTTCGGAGCTGAATTTTGCTAATAATTTAAACAACAATCAAAAGCGAAGCTCATATGTGTTAAGCCAAGTTTAACTATATAGGTAAACCTGGCATAAGATTTAAGCGGAGATGAAGAAATCGGTCCTCAGAACACTTAGTTTTACATGAGACTTTCGTAGTTTGTACTTTGGTATTCTTCTCTGATATATGTTGGTGTCATGCCTAAAATCCCTTAAAATTCTCTTAAAATTTACATTGGATTTTTTTTTAACTTCGTAATCATTCAAGGATGAAAATCTATGCACAGACAAATACCTTTGGAAAGTATACAAAATTTATAATATATTTTCCCCGATTTATAATCGAAATTGAAGGCAATTTAGTTTTCCTAGTATTTTAATGTTTTGCGGTTCACTGGTCACCCTGGTTAAAATTTTCAATTGTTCATTTTTTTTAAACTACTGTAGACTTTCTTAGTGCCAAGTACTCAATTTAAACATTTTATTGATATTTTTAAATTTCACTCTATTTAAGTAGTGAAAAAGTGACTTTAGTGACTATTTTTAGGGAAATAGTGACTTTAGTGACTTTTTGGTGTAAAAAGTTACTTTTTAGTGACTGGCTTCAAAATAGTGGCCAAGTCACTAAAAAGTGACCTGCTACCAGCCCTGGAACTAAATATAAAATATAAAATATATTGACATTCAATTTCCACCAGAAGCTGCTGAGAATGCTTTTCATTTATGGTACCGGGATTTTCAAGTTGTTTTATTAGAACTTTCAGTTACTTGGATAGATTTCTGAAGCTATTTTGGAATCCAAGGCATGGTAACTTCCGATTTGTGGATAACGCATAACACCTGTCAGAGTACCCTTTTGAGTTGGCAAACCGATTGGGACACTGGAAATCTTGGACGGTGGTTACATTCAATTATTCCTAATGTTTCTTCGATAGCGTGGTTTAAAGGCTTGGGCTTAAGTCGTGACTTCATTAGCGTGATGAGTAGACTTATGTCTAACCACTACTCGCTAGATGCGCATCTCAATAGAATAAACCTCGTGGACCTGTCGGGCAAAATTTGAAATGTTCGCTCCAAAGTGCGCAAGTGGTTCCAAATCGGGTCCTGATTAGCCTTCCAAAAGTTTTTACTCATTTGGTAAGAAACTGACTTGGCACAAACCATTTGAAGTTTTTATGGAAATTACTATGGAAAATCCAAACTTTTTGTCCATTGACTTCTAGCATTTTTTTCATATTGCTCTGTTCGTAAGTTTTATATCTATTTTTATGGGAAATTTTCTCAGCTACAACTTTGCTGAATATTGATCTTCAACCAAACGTCAATTTAAATAGTTATTAATTGTTTAAGAGAGAGATAATCTTATGGCATGATTAAGTAGCTGTTTTGTGGGCAGCACTGTATTCTGCAGGGTGACATAGTAGCCATGATATTTGTGCTTCATTCTTGGCACCAGAAACACCAATGTTGCCTGCTGATCAGTTGATTAAGCGTAATCATAAGACATCAGTGGCTTGAATCTATAATGACTTTTGTTCTTTACATTTGGTCGAAAAGTGGTCTTTAACAAAGTTATAGCTGAGAAAATGTTCTACAAGCCCAGCTATCATTTTTTTTTAAATCAGAGCGATGTGGTATTCTGCTTGCAATGTTTGTAAACATTTAAAAAAATAATGAATTGTGAATCCGTGAAAGCTTCCGCATTTTGAGCCTTGATTTTCCCATACGGACTTAATGATTATCATGTTAATCCAAATCGAACCAAATTCGTTCATATTTGGTACAGATGTTAGGGACCTCAATAAATCCTGCCCTGCCCTGCTACTCGAATTGGCAGTGAGCAACAGCTGCCTTGTGCGGCATAACAGTCCCATTAGCATTTTTGGCGAAATACATTGGAACCGATTGTCAACTACCATCACATTACAATTTACACGAAAAGTTTCCTAATTTGTTCAGATGATGTCGCGAATAATGTCAAAACTATGTTGTCCCATCCATAAGAACCCATAGAAAAAAAAATCGACAGCGATTGTCTCAGCTGTTTTAACGAATGGTACAATTATGCTGAAAAGGGCAGAACAGGAGGTTGCTGAACTGAGCAGTTCCAGGCAAAATAGCAAATAGAATCTTTGCAACTTTGTTATTGGCAATAATTCACATTTTTGCTAAAATTCGGCAATTTTGGATGCTGTAAAATTTTCAAAACTGCGCCCTTGTGGTTTTGTGAAAAATAATGTCTCTCTGAGCGGCGCCGGTGCTGTAGTGGTAAGCGTGGTTACCTCTCACCTCAGCAGTCCTGGGTTCAATCCCAGTCGGCGCCGCCGGGATTTTCTAAGGCATACAATATCTGATCACGCCTTTCTTCGGCGTAGGGAAGTAAAGCCGTTGGTCGCTGTTAATGAGTTGATGAGTCGATTGTAGGGTCCAGGTATGGAAGCTGCCTCCCTGGCGTCGATAGCATTGGCGCTCAGCACGGAAAACAAGATCGACGGAAAAAGAATCAAGGAAAAAAATGTCTTTCTGGAACGATTTCATTGTATGGATCAAATTTTATTTTCCATACAGCAACAGTTGTGTATGTGCTCGAAAAACACAACAAAACAACATCCTATGTTGATTACGTACGTGGCAAGCTCTTCAGAAAAAAAAAAATTACAGTTTCAATCGCAGTAATGTTTTATTCGATTTGTAAAATGCTTCCCCAACTCTTAAGATGACCCGATATTTGTTTGGATTTCTCAACTTGATTCAGCAGCAATTCTAAAAACGAGTTTTTCGTCAAAATCAGCTTTTCATTTATTTTCTTTTATCTATTTTGAGAATCAATTGACTTCAAATCTTATGGCCTATAGAGAGATTTCTGTTCAGTTATATACAATTGACAAGTCTAATGAAATATATCTTCATTTTTACAAAGATTCGTTTACCTGCACTATCTAAAAAGTATCTCAGATTTCTATATAATATTTGCATTTATTTCGTTTGTCTGCGACTCTTTTCACTTTAAAATTTCATTATTTACAATTCCATAAAGTTCGATATACAATTTGATATATTCACTTTGCATCGTTTTCACCTTCGTACCTGTTTCAGTAAAAACTGTATAATATTTTAACTAAGTACTTAAACCTCTAGCTATGTATATATATCTTTAAAGAATAACTACTTATCAGTCAAGGGGGATCTTTGCTCTTAATCGATAATATCTCTTAAAATTTTCCTTTCTGTTGTTTTGCTAAAACTTAAACGATAATAAAAAAAAAATAATTTGGTATATTACACACTCGCAATCCAGGAGTACGTTTTACTTTGTCTAATGCTCAATCATCTTTGTAATGCTAGCTCCAATTTCGTCCGATTTTCTGCTTCACATTAAATGCAATGACTGTCAAGTTTCTATCTTAATTTTCCTCCCCTGTCCTGTGAGAGGAAAAACAGACGACAGCCAGATTGCATTGTACCTGAGCGATGCTCTGTTCTATTAAGAGGGAGACAAGTGTTCCTTTGCTTTAACGTTATTTTTTTTCTCCAGAGGCATCCTTTTACTGTATCTGTCTGTCTGTCGGGTGCGTTGGCATTTCCAAGAGCGAGAGCACTATTTCGTTAAAAAGGATCATTCGGTGTAGCTTGCGTTGTTAAAAGGGAGGGAGGGGAATTGGCAAAAACTTAATACGTATATGAAATCTTGTTTCTACATCTTATCTCAACTTCTGCTTTTTTCTGAGGAGTATCTTTCTAATAGTGAAAACTTTTTTTTTACCTCGCTAGAACTGTTTCAATTTTTCGCTTCAGAAAGACCTTTAAAAGCTCAAACCACAAATGCAACTTGTTTTCCCTTTACTGGTTATCGGTAAAATAACTTCACTATTTAGTAACAATTTCAAAATGCACGCCTTGCTGTTTTCTTTTTCTTTTGTTTGTGCTACGCAAAAATTTCAACCGTTTCTCTAAATAAAAGTGTATCAGATTTTATAATTCGATTTTCAATATTACAGCGATATACACAGTTTCGTTTCTTTGTTTCTGCTAAAAAGTTTTAAAGCTCAAGCCGAATTTTCGTTAAGCTACGATAAAATTTCGAATTTTAGATTATAATAGACTTTGCTAAGAACAAGTTCAAGAAAAACACTCTGTCGAATACTGTTCCTCTTATGCATCTGATTTTATTCGTTTTCGGTTTCTGAACTGTTGTTTTGTTTCTCGACTAATAAGGCCACGCATGTTTTCTCATCTTCTCTACGGGAAACGAAGAAGAAGACGAAGTTTGTAGGGTTTGATGGAGCGACTGGCAGCGAATCCGATGGCGAAGGCGACGGCGGAAGAAGATATGCGCTACTGAACACACACATTTACAAGTACTTGGTAAGGGTAGTGGGGCGGGAAGGTTCTGGGTGGTGGGACGGGACGTAAGAGTACAACATGAGGAGATCCTTTTTTTGTTTTTTTTTTGTTTGGAGCATGTTTCTGGAAAGATGAGATTGGGTTCTAGGTTTCCCTTCCAGCGAACGAAAAGTAAATCAATACTGGTCTGCATTAGCGGCACATTTTCGATGTAACCTTTTACTAGATTAGAAACTTTGGTCTTGAATAATATTTGATTCTGTAAATTCGGAAAGATGAAAGAAATAAACTATAACTTGGGTGGCAAAATGATGAAAACATTATTCTTTTAGAGGCATTGAATGATTTTGCAAATAAAAAGATGTTAAGAAAAGTTTTGCTGGTATTGTTACCAGTTCTAAGAAACATTAATGTGTTAATTTTTATGCATAATAACAATGTCATACAAATTCAACTGAAATCTTATGCATTTATGCAAACGTCTGAATTTTCGTTCCAGTTCGTTTTCAGTTGGAGCGCGGTCACACTTAAGAAAAGTGTACGTTTTATCTAGCATACCTTCAAGATATTATCACAATTAAAGCCTAGAACCTCCCATCCATCCAAAACTATCACTAGTTGGGTAAGGAATAGAAGCTGCTCACAAACATTTATACACAGGGGGCAGTGAGTAACAGGTGAATATCTAGACGCTTACGCTAGACGTGTGTTGCCAGGGCGCCTTTCCGCAGATCTCCATTCGCTGGTAGAATAAACTGGCCAGGTCCGGGACTCGTTCCAGACGTTGGCAGTGTGGGCGTTGGCTGACTCTGTTGGGACGTTTGGTCCATACTGGTGTTAGCACCGGACGATGATCGTACCGATTCAGGACTCGTTAGGCCAGAGGTGATCCCGACGATACTTCCACTGTTGAGACCATTGCCGACGCCCAAATTCACCCCCATTGAGAGCAGAGAATTTTGGCCACGACCAGCACTGTAAGGAGGAGGTGCTGGAGTTACCGCCGGATTCGCAGTGCTTGGTGGTGGCAGTGGCGGCAGCTGAGCAGTGCTACTGCGCAAGTACGGATTACCGTAAGTGGCACTGTACCGAGGATCTATGCTCGGAGCCGTCATGAGTGAGGTGTCTGTAATAAGAAATGATCAAACCATGAGTTATTCCATAACATTTCTTCCTGTAAAATAATTGCTTACTCATAAGACTATTGGACAGCGATCCCATGCCGCTTCCAATACTCGGAAGCCCATTATCTTGTCTGAGTTCCCGATGCCTCGTCAGGCTCATGTTTCCATTAGGCAGCTGACCATTCGTGTGTACGTGAAGTGGCATGTTGTAGTCGTGAGCGTAGTCAACGTACGGCACATAGCCGCCATTACTTTGCCCAATTTTCGACTGCAACGGTCCGAGCCCGTCGGTGAAATCTCCCGAATATCTGAGGACACCGTTAACAAATGAACAGTTATGATCTGACTGCAAGCATACTGAATTCAAGACAAACTCACCGATAATCATTGGGAATTCGTACTGGGCCTGCCAGTGGGACGCCTCCCCCCATACCTGTTCCTGCATGACCGCTACCACTATTGTTGCTCCCACTCGACGAACCTAGGATGTTCATTGCCAATCGCGTCGCAATACTGTCGGTTCCGGAACATGTTTCCGAATATTCATGATCACGATCGATCTTCAGATCACTTACATTTGACGAGCGGTCACTTTCCTTGCATGCTTTCTCGGTGATGTAATGTTGCTGTGGAAAGAAATGCTCGTGTCATATTTTCCATTGAAATCCGATCGTTACTACCATCTTACCTCTGGAATGACATCAGCTGGAGGAAGCTTCTTCTTGCTCTTTTTCACACAAAAACACATCGCAATGATGATCATGACGGTGACTACAATTAATCCTCCGATGGAACCAAAGATGATTAGCGGAAGAAATATGGTTTCTAGGGTAGAGAACAATGTTTTAACGGATTTGATCGAATTTGATCTACGAGTGTTCGGTTTACCTTTTGAAACTTTGAACTGGATTTCGATCGAGTCCATTCCGTACTCGTTGATCACAGTGCAGTTGTACACACCAAAGTGTTGCTTTTGGCTGTTGTTGATGATGAGCGTAGATCGAACGCCTTCGGGTTGATGGTTTTCCAGGATTGTGTAGTCATTTTCGTTGTTGATTTCCAGTCCATTGTAAGTCCAGATGACGTGCTTCGCTTTGGGAACGGAGAGCGCTTCGCACTGAATCTGGGAATTATCGTTCACCACTCCATATTGGTGCCGTTGAGATCTGATTCGAGGAGCTCCTTTGAGATAAAGGGACGCCATCGACTCGATTTCCGGGAATCCCATAACACTGGCTTTGCAGTAGTAGTTGCCGGCCGTTTCCCGTGAAGCTATGATCGTTATATTGGCTGACGTGGATACCACTCGGTTCGATTCCTCCTGAATCCAAATGATCTCCGGCTGAGGATTACCATCAACGTCACACGTTAAGGTAACCGGTCGATCCGCATCGGCTTCTATCGATTTCGGTCGGGACCGGAAGGTGGGACCGTAGCTGATGTCAAGGATTTCGCTTTCCTCGCTTTTTCCGACGGCATTGTGCACCTCACACTTAATAACAGCGTCGTGGAACTTTTTGGATACGTTGTGAATGATCTATATTTCGAAGGGAATGCACATGAGAAAATTTCCACATTTGTGAAGTTTTCAACAAGACTTACCATTTCGGTGGTGTAGTCACCTGGAGCTGGCTCATCAGCAATGTACCACTTGTAGCTGACGTCATTCGGATTGGCATCTGCATGACATGACAATCGCACCTCGGCTCCTTCGGGGATTCTACCACCGGCTAGGGCTCCTCCAATTACTGAGACACTGACCTTGGGAGCGTACTTGACTTCTAGCTTCAGTTTAACCGAACGGTATGTCCGATCAGCTGTATTCTGAGCTTGACAAGTGAAGGATGTGTTGTGATGTTCCTTCTTTGGTGTCAGCTTCAGAATCGATTTAGCCGTGTAGCGACCAGTGTCAGTTAGGGGTTCTTTGACATATTCGATGCCAGAGGATATGACATTACCATGACCGTCGATCCAGGTTATCTGAAGGCAGTTACCACTTGTTATTAATGGATAACCTAGATAATTTCAATATTTAACAATAATTTACCTCAGCAGCTGGTTTTCCCCCGACTGAAACGCATTCGAGCTCGATTTCACGGTCTTCAGTCGTTACGAGAAAATCACCTTGTATGATTTTTGGCGGCTCCGGAGGCACTAACACGGTTATGGTTGCGAAACGCGATCGCATACCAGGTGTTCCTGTAATGAAGGTGAAAGTTGCATTCTGCCCAGCATGTGATTCTAGCGACCTTTGAACTTACCATCTTTACCGGGACTGACTTGGCACTGGTATCGCGCTTCATCGTCGAGCATCACTGGATAGATTTCCAGTGAATAGTCGCCTTCCTCGTCGCTACCGATCATCGAATAGCGATCAAAACCACTCAGGTTCCGATGCCATCCCAAGCCAAAGTCATCCTTGGTCCACTGCAGTTGACCAATTTTGGATTCCACTCGGCAGGGTAGCGTTACTTTGGATCCAACAATCGCCGTTTGGTCCTGAGGTTCCATGGCAAATCGTTGGGTGCCGGTATTGACCACTTTACCTGTGGAACCGGCTGAGATCAACAGAGTCAGCCATAGATAGCTGACCACTTGGTAGGTTTGTTGAGGTGTCGTCATAATTGGTGTAGTTTGTTGGTCTGATTTCGTTCGGTTTTTTGTTTTGATCAGACTCGTACCGTTTGTGCGAGTTACGAGCTAATAAATTGATAGTAGATATATGTGAGTAGGTGTGACCGTTTCGTGGAAGATGTGAATGTGATGAATCACTCCCAGCTTAGCTGCTACCGTATGGTGGACATTGCAAAAGGGGTGTTTGTTTAACTGCCCAACCTCCACTGTAGCAATGGTTACATTATTTCAATGGACGGTGAATCTGGAAAAGCAAGAGAAAATAGAGATACGTTAAAAGTGACATTCGCCGAATAGCAACGGACGTAAATTATATTTTTTATTAATGAGCAGTACAGTAGAAACCACATGAATCTGGTGCAAATTGATAACTTGACGAGGTGAATGAAAGATAGCAATCGGATGGCTATATAAAGGCAGTGAACAATAAAGTCATTGATTCCAGTCAGTCGGATACGATGCCAGAAAATCACGTAAAATCGAACAACGCAAAAAGTCTGTTTAAAATAAATAAACCGACAGTAAATCAAAATTCAAACGACAGAAGATGGATCTCACACACAAACGAATTGGGGGTGAAAGAGAGAAAGACATCGTAAAACAGTGGCTTTCCCAGGAGGCAAACAGATGTTTGTCAGGCCCCCCAACGAATGTAGAATAAATTTCATCAGAACATAAAAATCAAATCTCCCGCCAAGACCGGGCTCCTAAAATTCGATTGAAAACTCGTAAAACAGTCGAAGAAATCTACATGACAACGATTCAGCCTGTATTATAGAACTACTGCTCTCGTTGGATAACATGCGGGCAGACGAGAGCGAAGGAATGAAAAGACATCATTCCAGACGTACCATCTTCCGAGTACATTATAGGATCCAAACAAAGCCAGTTCAAATCAATTTCACATTTGAACGGGATTTACTTTGCATACCTACGACCAGCCGAGAATGAGATCTTTTATCTGATGTCGAATAACTTTACAGCACGCTCAATTATGTTCAATTATTAGTGTTTCACCTCAAACTCTCCGGAGTGCTCCTATCTAGATGCTGATGGCAGAGGTTATTGGCACTTTTAATGCCTGATTGGAGATGATAAATTTCCGCCCCTCTTTCAGTAATGCATCTGGGGACACGTCATCACAGAAACTAATTGTCCTTGTCTAACCATGCAGCAAAATCATCAAACGTTAGCTCCATTTACCACCCACAACTAGCACCCAAAGTTGAAAAAGATATTCTTCAAGTGATATCCATAACTTTATTGTATTCATTAGCCTAAGCGAGGATGAGGGTGGTGGGTAATCATTCCTACCGTTCATCCTCTCACTCTTTCTCCTCATTCCTCTCAACGTAAATGTGTTTACTTTTCATCTGCTTTTCAATTTGCAACAGCTCAAGTGGAATGTTATTCAGCTGAAGCTAAACCGCTGCTGCCGCCTACACCATGGTTGCATGCGAAGAAGACCGGTTCCCCTTCCAATCCGGGTCAAGAACTCCGTATCCTTTAGAATTGAAAGAAAACGCAATTAATTAAAGAACGGTGGTGGGACTGCTCTACTTTGTCGCAACACAAATAGGTGTAGAGGTGAAGGAGAGAGCCCAGAATCCTTTGACCGAATGAATGTTCTTTGTGGGTAAGAAGCAAACCAGGTTTACTGCAGTAGAATAGAGTTGCAGAAAAACTCTTTTCAATTGCTGGTAAACGAGGGAAAGTACGACGGTTAATTGGGAAAGGAAATTTCTTTAATGACTCTGACAAGGAGAAGTTTGCTCAAACATGAGAATTTTGAGCTATAAAAACTGTGTCAGCAACGCATATTAAATTAACTAAATTTCAAGGTTTTCGTCTACATTGCTAGTCCGATGAAGTTGATAACAGCTCCGACATAAGTTAACACTTACTGGTGGTTAGGTTTACTCATGTCAAGTCACAGACCAGAAATTACGGAATGAACTTTACTAGTTACACAGTTCGAAAATGTAGTGTAAATTTCTGTTCAATTATGTGCATGGAGCGTCCCTTATCATATAAATTTTCAGTATATATCATGTAAAGTTCTGAGATATTTCATGCAATGTAGCAAATATTGTATACAAAAGCCCATTGTTGTAAACAACGTTGTTTACAAGTTGCTCATTTGCGTGATATGAAACACAAGTTTACGTGGATGAATATTTACATCACAATTAAAATTCGGACTTTTTTTCTGTGTACGTATATGAATAAATTCTCTGGACTGAGAAGGGTAACGGAGCTTTTGTTACTCAATTTGATATTTTTGATTTTTTCCAGTTTTTCCTGAACAATGTTTCTAAAATCATACGGTTTTATAATAAATTTTGTTTGTTTCATTACAATTAACCTTTGAGCTCCTTATATGCGCGGCGATCTCACCGACCGGGAAGGATCAACGCTTTTTTCCTAAAACTCAAATATTACTTGTTTACGTACCCGTCCCTCCAACCGAATTTCATTACGTTTATATCATATTATGAAAGAAAACCAAATTAAAGTATAACTTTATAATGCGACGGAGCTTGGATTTGAACCCATGACTTTCTGCTCAGTAAGTAAAATCGGTCACCACAAGGCCACCGAGCTCATTATTTCATAAACCAATTACGACTAAGTTCCCGTTCAACTTGATGTTACTTGATTTCGATACTGGCGGTGACCTCACTGACGACGATTAAAACTACTCTTGAGAAGGATTTGTTATAGATTTCTGATCAACACGACGTGCCTAAAACTCGAATATTATTTCCTTTACGTGCTCGTTCTTCCAACCGAATTTCAATACGCTTTGTATGTTTAGTGTGAAATAATAAAAGGAAAACGTCGATGAGAGCTTCTTGAAATCTGAAGTGATATATCCGAGATTACACTTTTTTGAAAATAAATTTACTCACTAGTTTACTTTTATCTTTATGCTATTGTACTTTCTTTTAACTTTGAATAGGAACTAAAAATAGATCGATAATGACCGATCCAGTTGATTTTTTAAGTCTTGCAGACCGATTAAAACCAACGATAAATCGAACCAGACGAATCGATCTTCTGAGAAAAGATTCAAAACCGCCCATTACTAGGCGTGGAACTCGGGGGTAGACTAAAACGGGTGTTGCCAGTTTCGGAAAAAAAACTGTATTTTGTTGCAAGATCATTGTCCTGTATATTTGTTCATAGCTCTGATCAGGTTCAAGGTTTCCCACCTTATCTCGGTGACAATAAAATCCCAATTCTTTCCCTATTTTTCAAGTTTTCTTGATAGAGTTGTCACCTTGATAAAATCTCTATTTTTGCCCGTATAACTATTGTGGTCAATTTATATGGTCTGGAGCTTACTAATGAGATCTTTGAAACTAACCCATAATTTTGAGAAAGTTGATCCAAGAGATATCAGAATGTATATAATTTATTAGGCCGAAAGTTGACCCGTAAAATCTCTAGAATTTATGCCTAAGCTTTTTGCAAGGGTACCTGAGAGTTTTTTCGTTTAGTTATCGGTACATAACTCAAACAAGCTTCATGCACTGCTTATTTAGTTCTAATTGAAGAATGTGATAGAAAGGTCAGTTCTCACCGCAAATGGCTTAATGCAGTTTTTTTTAATGTAGCTCCGTGAAGGAAACTTCTAAGATTCATTGTTTTAATAACGCGTCTTTATTTAGTCTCAAATAATTTAATAAAATGAGATATCCAGTCCCCTCCATTCCAGGACTGAAATAACAGAAAAACGGATAAAATTAATTAAAATTAATTTTCAAAACCCGATATGGTCTTTGAAGTATGTCTGTGTAGCAACTCTTTGCTATAACTGACGAAATTATTGAATTTACACACTACTGATTGAGATATTGATGTAACGTTGAAGGATTCCGAATCACTCCAACTTAGATGCATGTATTAATCAATTTGAACTATACACCAATCGTAGCAATCTATATTCCAATCAAAAGCAAAACGCACGATCGTCATTCGCACAACATTCGATGTACGTCAGACTTTACAAGTAGAATTTGTTTTGCCAAACGATTCCACTTAAAATAAACACGTCAGTTCCATCGATTGTACCTGGCACAGCGCCCTAGAGCACCATCACTGCTCACTGTCCCTCGCGGATGCTCTCATTTTCCTGGGAAAAATACACTGCCTTTCCCTGCAGGGCAACAATCAATCAATACTGTCCCTTGCATTGACACATCAGATGTCAAGTATAACAGCACAAACTAAAAGAACACAGGCGGACGTTGTCGATTTGGAGATGATTGGAAAAGTCCTCCTGGCAACAACAATGATCCGCAGCGGAGGACGAAGGACGGCGGAGTTTGCTTATTTTCCCAAGCCCTTCCGCCGTTCGTTGTTTCCTCAGTAACGTTAATTCTAGATAATCGATGCGTGATAATCGCTGCTTTGTCCTTTCTACCCGGTATTCCGCGCTCCACAACACAACCCTCCGACTCGGATGCCGCGCTTGATCTGACAGCCGGCAGACACTTTTCCCTTAAAGCCGATTAGCGCTGTTTCGTGCACTGAATCCGTCATTGTCGTCGTAGTCGTCGTCATCGCCGTCGCCGTCGCCGGGCGTTGCGATGTGCGACAATAAGCTAAAGACTTGAACTACAATTGGCCGGAGGCCTGACGCTGCTGACTTGAATACTCGGCTCCATATGCAAAGATACACCTACATACGCGCCTAGCTACGTAGGGGTACGAATAACGGCTAAACGGCGCTAAACATCAGCCTTGGCATTTGGGGAGTTGTGTCACCGCGCTCGAGGAAGCGTAGATTCAATATGTAGAGGAAGAAGCAGTAAGACAAACATCAAAAAACGGCATCAACAAACAGCATCCACGAGGACCCTTCCCTGTCCTGTCCCGATGTTTTTCCGCTTGAACGGAGTGAAGGTGCTAGGAAAACAGTTGTCACACAATACCCCACACATACGTCCATACTTTCAGACAAACACATACACACACATACACAAAGCACCGGGCCTCGACGAGCGTCAGCACAGCAGCGGTAAAATGTGCCACCCACTCCCTCGGGACATGCCATGCCATGAATGATAAAACTATTGTTAACTGTTTTTCTTCTGCTA